TTAGATTAGTATAGTCCGCGGCGCGAAACACCGCGCACACCTTCAATTTACACGTGGAACACCTTACTCCCAGCGGCCGCGGGAAGCAAATTCAACTACATTTTTCCAATTTACACTTATTTCTAAAAAGTTTTCTTCTTTGCCTATCCTATTTCTCCACCCCCAAAAACCCTATAATCACCATTTCCGCAGGACAAAATACTGGGACTAGGGTCATACGAGGTGCATTACATAAACTCATTTTGCCTTCGATTCTAAATAAATCCAGGCGTCCTGATGGGGGGCACAAGCATTCTTATTACTTCGACGCGTTTTTCTGCTAGAAGAAAGCGTTTTTGGTGTGAAATAATAATTCTGAAAGCTCTTTCTTGTAATCCTACCAGAGTAGCCGTTCAGCCAGACCCGTTGGGTAAGTCAGGGCGAACAATCGATTACTTCGCACAGCTGACCGTCCCTACCATGATAACTCGGAGAGAATGACCCCAGGGCAACATGCGCAGAAGAAACGGTTACTCGCTTCTCTAGCCGCCAATCTTCTAACTCTTAATGATGTTTGACAAGTTCTCTAACGGTGCCTGTGATTTACATCATCGAAGTGCCTTCAACGTTGAAACTGACGTTGGTGGCACATTTCTCGTGCCTATTTCACGAGATGCCTTTTTAAAGCCGAAAGAGGGAATGGGGGAACTTGACAATGGAGCACACGCCTGTTCTTCGTGCCTCATAAAAAAGGAGCAGAAAATACATTAATGGCTACTAAAAACTGTCTTGAATGAGCATATACGTCCTTTTTTTAATGTTTTCAACAAGAATGTGCCTGAGTCAAGTCGAAATTTTCAAAGAAAGCGTAACGTGCATTTATGTGGTTGAAAGGGAAGCGAGCAAGTTTTTTAATAGACATAACTAACTTATTTATATTTTGCAGTATCAAAGGAACACTTCATCGCTATATCGAAAAAAAACTAAAGGCGCTTAGGAGAGGACGAGGATGGAGACCAGCATGTGCGATTTAACCCCATTCTGGACAAGCAACACAGCCCAATCATTGTAAGAATGTACCTCTAGTGCTGCCACGTAAAAACGATGCATTAAGTGTGGTCTAAAGTGGCTGTACTGTAGTTATAATAATTATTATTATTATCATACAGCATAATTCCAATATATGCCAAACACGTCAGGGCGCCCGATTGTGAACAAGCTTCTTTCCGGCCGCCTTCAAATGACCACTTAACTAAAATGCATTTCATCGTTAACCTTCAGTGTCTTTCCAAATTAAAATATATTTTATAGAAAACATACTTAAAACTACGCTTTCTTGTTATCATTCGTTATCAAAGTAGGTCTTCTTTAACATTCTTACCCGAATAAAGAGTGTCTTTCGGTTTTGAAACCTTTCTAAATTCCTGAGTAATTTTGAACCCAACCTGTTGTTACACATACATTCGGGATTGCTAAACTGCAACCTGTATATTTACCGTGAAAGGAGCATCTTTCAATGTTATATATTATCAAGAAGAAGAAGTGTGGGGTTTTTAACATTTTTCAGTGAATATGGACCACATTATATACTTAACAAGCAGTGATAATAAATATAAAGATACGATGCTTTATGAACGAACATTTCACGCTCTTGAAAATCCCACAATTAGGAAGTGCTTTTTGAAATCAAAAGGTACTTTTTCTTCAAGTATATACTTCACAGAAAGCGTGATTTGCTACCAGATAAGTTTGATATAAACATAAATTAAATATATATAAAAATATGTTTGAATTTAAAAGGAAATTGGCAGTCAACGATAGAAATGCATGATATTTAAGTAAGCTTTATCACGGCGTATGGTTTTTGAAAGCAACTGGAAGGAAGTTTGTTCAAAATGCAATACAGTATGTTTCTTAATCCATAAAATTTCATAAATTTCCCAAGTAAATCCCTGTTATTTAAAGTCTGACTACGCCTTATCCCTCAAAGTTTTACAGCAGCAAAAGGTACTACCGGTCTTAAAAAGAAACCAAATTGCCGTTTATAAAGTTACATTGCATGGTTTAGAAATACTAACATTTTTAGAACAGTGGAAAATTCCTAAAAAGTTAAGAATCGGCGTAAGTAAGTAAATGTACGTTTTAAATTTACAGAAGGCCTGTCCATGCAAAAAAGAGTGAAAAAAGTAGCACAAGTAGAATTACCTTCGAAATAATCCTTTTGTTAATTTTTCAGAAATACCAGCTTTTTTACCAAAACGAAAAATTCAGAAAAATTGAAAATTGGGCATACAAGGTAAACGGAAATTTTAATTTGATAATATGCCTGTTAATGTAAAAAATCGAGTGAATAAAGCAGTAAGTGTAGAATTACGTTCGAAAATAATCATTTTTTAAATTTTATTCGATAGAAATGTTTCCATATTACGTGCAACGTAATGTATGACTGTTACCGAACAGCCCAAAGTTCGGGTATGTATTCCAACACGGTGTCCCGAGAAGTGCTAGTTGTTTCTTCCGTTTATACATTGCTTGAGCTACGTTGGACTAAGGCAACCAGAATTTCGTTGATTTTGCCGATTGGGAGACGATAGGAACAATATATTTATAAGTTCACGTGCGGACATACCGGTCAATGACTAATAAATTTAAATGGAATTGTCAGGGGCAATCGTAAACGTACTATTTTTATACACTATCACACATTCCTTTCCGCCATATTTATTTTTAATTATTTTGGGATTTCTATTACGACAGAGTTTAGATCGTTGTTGAAATGGTGATTAACATTTTACAATGTTCACTGGTTTCAGTCGATTGGTCATGAATACGAATTATATTCTACGTGCTTACCAAAGCCTTCAAAATAAGATATTGTTTAGAAGCATTTATCTAAATAACGAATTTTTGAGCATTTTTTCTTATCCAGCTGTCTGTTTGGGTCATGGTTTTAGAATCACCCAAACATATCAACCCATTGCCGAGAAAAATGAACATCCACAACAAAACTCGCGAATTAAAATGCCCAAGATTAATTAAACAGCTTTCTATATCCCCAAGATTCCTGCTGCAAACACGTCCACTCACATTGATCAAAACCTTCAAAATAACCTATTTATTAAAAGTACTTACAGAATCAGTGAACTTTTGGGCGTTGTTTCTAATGCCCTACCACCATCACCAGAAACACCTAAAATTTCGATTACGACATTTTATGAGTTAGGCAATCTACTGTAGTCTGACGCAGTGCGTTAGACTGAAGGGTGTGCGAGAAAGTGAGCACTCCCAATTCACCCCCACAAACCTCCTCGAAACCGACTGCCTACCCTTGATATTTGCCATCACTCCCTCACCATTCGCTTGAGTCGATCGGGACATCCGAATTTTAGTATGAGTTCCTAGGGTTCGTCGCGTTTCCTAGTGTCGCAAGCCTGTATCAGGCCAGGACCCAAATTTGTTTGCAGTTGGTGGGCCGCGTAAAAAGGTTCACGTCTAAGATTGACCTACTGACACTCGTTGATTAACGTTCACCCGACCGCTAGCGGAACTCATCTGTCCCACTCTGCCTTGGGCCCCGCCAGAGGTCCTGACAGCCCTGGTCTTTCCAGTCTCCTCGGTATTTGTCTGTAATGCTATCTGCCTACACTACCAGCTGTTACGGCTGTCAGAGCCTCTTTCGAGACCCCAAGCAGAGCGGGACAAATGAGTTCCGTTAGCGGTCGGGTTAACGTTCATCTGTGAGTATTAATATACCTTGACTTAACCCGGCAAAACAACGGGCTCGTGGCTCAGTGGTTAGAGCAGTCGACTCTAATAAAAGACGTCGCGAGTTCGAGGCTCGGGTGGGACGCCATTTGGGTCTGAGTATGACTGGCTAACGACGGCTTATAAGCCAAAAATGGTCATTCCAGTCTCCCTTGTCTTTTTCGGTAAAACTATTTACCTATTTATGCGTGGGAGAGAGAGAGAGAAAAAAAACATATGTACGCTTTATTTTGAAAATATAATTCCAAAATTCGCAGCAACAACGTCCTCTATTCGCCATGAATAAAATTCAGCCCAGCAACCAAATAACACCGGATGATCACAAACAATGCATAATAGCTTAACACTGCAATTGCCGACATCATGACGAATCTGCGTTGAGTGAGTCGCAAAAACTAGGCCAAAATCGGACTTTCTTCAAAACATCGCGCACTAATGATCTCATTGTTGTAATTAGAATTAAAAAAGGGGGGTTAAAAATCGGTTTATACTCGGCACAATAGCCAACTGATATATACATAAGAAATTTTCATGCGAATGGAGAGCAAAAATACTTCCATGCATGCAGTCAGTCGAATCTGTGCAAACAGTGTGATGCGTCAGCGGAAGAGTGACGGGCTTGGACGGAGACTTCAAGCTAGCGGAGTCACTGCACCCAATGAGACATTCACAGAGGGACCACGGACACCGTCGCGCCGCTCCAAGCACCACAGACACCAGCAAGTTATATAATTTAACTGCTCGAATGAGATAACTTTGTCTGGGTCGGACCGCCAGACACCGCGGGGTGTAAGCACAGACGCGAACCTCCTGATTCTGCGCCTATTAAGCCAGCAAACACTGGCACTTGACCACACGCAGCGATGCTGGGTTTCCAGACCCCAGGGTGGCCCCGAGGGAGGCGCTAACCGCGCACCGCCAGTGGCCTCAGCGTCATCATCAACGCCAATGTCCTCTTCCGGTCGTTCTTTTTTATTGGACATCTTGGCAGTTGAGCACTCACGGTACTTTCAAAGGCACCGCAGCGGGGGCAACCCATCAAATGTATCAAGACCGTGTGGCGACGGCCAATGCGGCGATGATTTAGGAATTTCGCTGGCCTCTCTCCCCC